TGATGATATTTAAAGCTTTGGCTAGAGGTAGTAATGGTAAAGCATATCATTTTCAGAATGTTTTACTTTTGCCACATAAAAATAAGTTACACCACTCTGTTCAGTGTATCCAAATGCTTCAAAATATATAGCATTTTGATTCTCATCATCATCTATTTTAAAAATGCATGAGCAAGCTGTTCTTTATCATTGGAAATGTAAATCCTTCTTTTGATTCCTTGAACTCTTATTTTTCCTCTGTGTCTGTCATAGACGTTTATCTTGGTATAATACATTTTATACTTGAAAGGTTTTTCTTGTTTTTTGTTTTTTTTTAACAAAATATGTATATAAGCTTAAATTTTAATTTAAGAAAGTTCCTGTAGGGGCGCCTGGGTGGCTCAGTCAGTTAAGCGTCTGCCTTCGGCTCAGGTCATGATCCGCGGGTCCTGGAATCGAGTCCCACATCGGGCTCCCTGCTCAGCGAGAAGCCTGCTTCTCTCTCTCCCTCTGCCTGCCGCTCTGTCTACTGTGCTCTCTCTCTCTCTGTCAAATAAAATAAAATTTTAAAAAATCTTAAAAAAAAAAGTTCCTGTAATCATAGTTTTTAAGTATTAATTTGGTCCAGAAGAAAAATTATTATCACAGTTACTAGTAGTATACAACTGATCACATATATTATAATTTTTGGTAAATCATAACTAACCATAAAAGTTGAATTTGATTGGAAATGTTTTTCTTTTTTTTTTAAACTTCAATTTTTTTTTTTTTAAGATTTTATTTATTTGACACAGAGAGACACAGCGAGAGAGGGAACACAAGCAGGGGGAGTGGGAGAGGGAGAAGCAGGCTTCCCGCTGAGCAGGGAGTCCAATGCGGGGAAATGTTTTTCTTAATGATGGGGATTTATATTTTTCTCAGATCATGAATCTGTGGATCATTATTTTTTGCTGGCATGAGAGAGAATTTAGCAATTTCTGTTGCTATTTGTTTAAAAAAGATTTATTTATTTTAGAGAGTGTGCATGCAAACTCTCTAAAGGGGAGGGGAGGGGGCAGAGGGAGACAGAATCTCAAGCAGACTCTCTCTGAGCGCGGAGCCTGACGTGGGGTTCAAACCCAAGACCCTGAGATCATGACCTGAGCTGAAATCAAGAGTTGGATGCTCAACTGACTGAGCCACCCAGGCGCCCCTATTCCTATTGTTTTGATAGACGTAATAGCCGGAAAACTTTAATCATGTAGCTAAGTATGTGGGAATGGAAGTCTTATTATGGCAATATCCTCCGTTCTTTGAGTTAGATGTTAAAGAATTCCATAAGTCAGTATCATTAGAAATTATTTTCAGTTAGAAATTATTTTCAGCGTCCTATCAGAAGGCAACTACGTTATGACCTCTTTTAATTTTGATGAAAGCAAAGAATTGGAAACTTTAATCTGGAAGAGGATTTGTTACTCGGTGATTAGATAATGCACTTTGTTCAGGGGCTTGCTTTTGTTTCATGAATCTGGGATGTTTTCTTTTATCCTTCTGAGGGAAATGAGGTAGTTTTTTGTTTTGTTTTGTTTAAAGTGTCCTATTTGCTGTATCAACATTGTTTCCCTGAGTGATATTTATTCTTTTTGAATGTGATGCCTTACTTTTTTTGGTAATAGTGTTCTTCCATTATTTGGCAATACTGAGATTCTCCCACCTGCCTCTTACAGGGATATAACCGTGCTGCCAGGTGGGGTGTGAGGGCTCCCCATTCCATCTGGGGGTCGGCACAAGGCAGACTTGTGCCGTGAGGGAAGGAAAGTGTGGGGGGAATGGGGACTGGCTTGATAGCTTTTAATGGAATCCTCATCATTCCTGCTGTTTGTAAGCATAGAGGACTTTGCAGTCCTGCTTTCCTGTGCCTTTGGGCTGTGGGTTTTTTTCGGTGTGATCCCATTTGCTTTCATTTTCTTGGATATTCCTTGTAATTTCTGGGACTTCTTTTAAACCATCTTTCCTGCTGTTTTGTTTTGTTTTGTTTTAAGATTTTATTTATTTACTTATTTGAGAGAGAGAGAGTGAGTGAGCTGGGGAGGAGCAGAGGGAGAGGAACAAGCTGACTCCACGCTGAGTGCGGAGCCCGACTTGGGGCTCATTCCCACCACCCATGACCTGAGCCAAATCTAAGAGTCAGATGCTTAACTGACTGAGCCACCCAGATGCCCTTATTATTTTTATTAAGGAAACTCTACACCAAATGTGGGGCTTGAACTCATGACTGAGTCACATGCTTTACCAACTGAGTCAGTCAGTCATCCCTACTCTTAAATTCTTTGAGGTGCTCAATTAAAATAGGACTTTATGTCTGTGAAAGTCTTCCTTTTTATCCCTATCTCTGGTTCCTCATCAGTGGCATTTGGTATATATTCTTTCATTTCTTCCCCCTGATTATTTGTATGTGCGTGCGATGTGTTTGTGTGTTTTATAATGCTATTATGACATATTTGCTTTTATTTTTTTCTTAATGTGTCCTGACCATCTTCCCATTTCAGTACATGAAAAGCTACCTAATTTCTTTTAAAATTGCATATTATATCACAATTTAGCAAATCTGTCGGTGGGCATTTGTTACTTTTTAAACAATGCCACAATAAACATCTCATTAACATTCATTTTTGTGTGCTTTTATGTCTTTCTCTGAACTACATACCTGAAATGGATTGTCAAGTTAAGCATTTCAAAATTTGATAGATTGCCAAATTGTCTCATAAAAAAAGGATGTTCCAATTTATATTCCTCCAGTGGTATATAAGATTACCTGTTTTCTTACACTGTTGCCAACAGTGGCTCTTATTAAATATTAAAAAGATTTTTATCACTCTTATGACCAGAAGTTGGTATTTTTTGTAATTTGCATTTTCCTGTAATCTGCATTTTATTTTCTTACAATCTGCATTTTAAAATGAGGCAGATTTTTAAAATATGTATTCTTTCTTGAGCTAGGAAGAATAAATTTTATAAGCTTATTTTGTGGGAGTAAAAGCACATTTATGCCAAACATGTTCTATCCCATATTTGGCATAAATATGGGATAGAACGTTTAGTATCTCTTCGGTAAGTAAAACACAATACATGAAGCCCTAGTCTGGTGCCTTGTGCTAGTGGGTATTTAATAAAAGTCTATTCTCTTTCAGTCCATTATTCCTTTTTCTTCGAGTTAATAGTCTCCTTTCAGTCTGCCTTGTTCTTTAGGTTGTTCTCTGTAGTTGTTCCTCTGTTATCTGAGATAACAGAATGAAAGACTTTTCAGTGAGTTTATATGAAAGATTTCTGCCTTGGATTTGTGGGAGTCAGAAGGTCGGGTAGTGTAGTTTCTTGTCTTTCAAAGTAAAATCTTGCATTTTATATTTTTGTAGCATACATTCTAGATTTTTACTTGTCTTATGAAAAATATCTCTGTGAGGTTCTTGAGAGTGACTCATGGGAAACTCTTGGGTTGGCAAGTTGATGGCAGAGCTAGACCGGTTGCTGAAATTTTATAATCAAAGCCTTTAAGAAAAGGTTGTACATCCTTATATTGATCTATGTAGTCAATGCAGTTTCATTCAGGATATAGAAGAGCAAGAGAACTAGAACAACCAAAACAGTTTTGGAAAACACCCAATTTAGAGGACTCACATGACCTCTTTTAAAGACTGTACAAATTCAGTAATCAAGATGGCATAGTACTGGAAAAATGAAGAGATTTATAGGCTGGTGGAATAGAAGAGAGAGAGTCCAGAAATAGATCCACACATAGTATGGTCAGTCGATTTTTCAACAAAGGTGCAAAGGCAGTTAAGTGGAATAAGTATAGTCTTTTCAACAAATGATACAGGAATGATCAGATGTCTGTATGCAAAAATATGAATCTAGACCCATATTTTATACCATATACAAAATTAATCATGTATCATGGGCCTCAAAATGAAACCTAAATTTGAAAACTATGAGTTCTAGAGGAAAACATAGGAGAAAGTCCTGTGACCTTGGGTTGGACAAAGATTTCTTCTTCTTCTTCTTCTTTTTTTAAGTTTTAAAATTTTTAAGTAGGCTCCACGCTCAGCACAGAGCGAACGTGGGGCTCAAACTCACAACCCTGAGATCAAGACCTGAGCAGAAATCAAGAGTCCCCACACAACTGACTGAGCCACCCTTTGACAAAGATTCCTTAGATACTTCACTGAAAACATAAGAAAGCATGAGGGAAAAGTGAAAAATTAGCGTTCATCGAAATTTAAACTTTTGCTCTGCAAAAGACACAGTTAAGAGAATGAAAATGCAAGTCATAGGCTGGGAGAAAATATTTGCAGAATTCATCTGATAAAAGGGTTGGTATTGAGAATATATAAGGAATCCTCAAAATTCAATAATAAGAAAACAAATAGCCCAAATAAAAATGATAAAAAAAATTTGACCATTCGGTTCACTAAAGGAAGGGATGGCAAATGAATAAATACATGCAAAGATGCTCAACATCTTTAGTCATTAGGGAATGAGACACAACTATATTACAATAACTAAGATTAAAAGAAAACAAAAACAGTTCTCTGCTCCCAGAAGTGATATTGGTGACCATGTAATTCTCTCCCTCAGGAGCAAGGATGCTGAGCAAGGATGATGCCCTGGACTTTTTACGTGGGAATTGTTTTAATGGCCCTTGTAGCATTGGATTTGAATCACAGATAACAAAACCTGTGGTGCTTCATAACGGTTTTGGAACGGAGTATAATGGTGATCTTTGACAGTTTACAGAACAAAAGATTTCAGCTTGCTTATTAGGAAGGGTTCTTCTGTAGTGTTTGGGTATCGTAAAATTGAATGACTCAGTTCTGTTCTGTTTCTTGGTTTCCTTTTATTGGATCTTTACATTTTGGACAGATTTTTATCTGCTTTAAGCTCATGCTGTGAAGAGTGACAAAAGTCTACCTGGTTAGATAGCTTTGAATCTGTTTTTCGTATTGCTGTCTGTCACTGTGGGTAATTACTCTTTGTGGTTATTGCAGGAACTCCATCCAAACCAACAGGTCTAGCCAATGGTGATCACGGAATAGAAGGGAATGATACTACGGGTAAGTGGTTCCCAGGATTCCCCAAATGTGGGGCTGAAACAGTCACAGTAAACACCTTGATGAGCTCCTTTGAGGAAGATTCTTAGTGAATCACATGAACTATTTCTAAGGGTATTGTTGTTCTTGTTGGTGTATTCAAGTCCAGGGCCCTCTGCCACATAACATCTCCAGCAATGGAAAGAGTGAATTTCCTTTGATGTTTCTTGAGTTATTTGTTGTAATTATACCACACAAGAGCTGGATCAATCTTAAAAATATGCTTATAGATGCAGACTAACCATCATCAAAATATGTTGTATTGGAGGCATTTGGCCACTACAGCTCTTTATACAGCCTCTTCTCCACTGCACTTAGCTTGCTTTCTGTGGCTCAATGTTAGGAAACCCGTGAGCCGCAAATCAGAAGTTCTTCCCTTTTGATTTTGCCCTCAGTCTTTTTCTTAGTCTTTTTCCCCTGTTAACTGTTACTTTTGAAATCTGTCTCTAACTTTAATGCCTAGCCCATTAACTAGGGCTTTGATACTCCATCAGCCCTGAGCCCCTGTGGCTTCCCACCTCATAACTAGCACCAGCCCCCGACCCCCAGTGTTTTTGTATTGAGCAGAATTCTTGAGGCAGTAGTGGGGTCCACAGGGATGTACTCTGCAGATCTTCTCTTAGGTAGCTGATAAGGAGAGTCAGCTTGTATTTCTGTCAACAACTGCACTTATTTTGCATCGTGATCAGGCTGACACTGTTGACCCAAATGAATAGACGTTTAATGGTCAAGTGAATTGTTCTTTGCAACAGACCATGCTCTTAACTGGGGCATCACATTTGATTCACATTACTGCACTGGGGGCAAGCACTAGACACGGATTGTGTCTGTGTTTCTCTTGTATGCCTACCTCAGCCTGGAGAAGATTCTCCTTGAGCCACCATATGATTTCTTGGTTTTTAAGGCTTCCTTCTGTTAGCAACAGCAATTATTCCAGGATTTATTCTTTATTCTGTGACCTTTGGAAATGTTGTATATATCTTTGTACCTCAGATTTATTGATGGCTGGTTTCCATTTGTTGTGAATGTTAGTTTTGCCCAGTGACTTTAACATCCTTATTAGCAGCTCATAACTTAGAAACTCTTTACTTTAAGGTAAAAACATCCAGAAGTGGCACCTTTTCCAGTTTTGTGAACTGATTTTTTTTATTTTTTGATAATCTTTGTTGTATTATTGACTGTTTCTGTGCCTACTTTGAAAGCAAAGTCATCTATGTAGTATAGTTTTAAGGAAACATTTATGGCAATATCCCTGTGATTAAAGAAGCTTGAACATGAACTTTTAAAAAATGAGTAAGTTCAGCTTTCTTTAATAAGGAGGCAGTGCCAGGGAAAGGAAAGGCTTGGAGGAGATTGACTTGGTTAGCCAGTTGAAAGAGTGGATGCCATTTTCATCCAGAAAGGAAGCAGCTATCAAAACTAGAGAGAGTTCTCCAGCAAGATGTCAGTTGTGACCAGAAGAAACTTTGTGTAGCAATTGCTTCCCATTGCCAATTCTTAATAGCCCAGAAAAAAAGAAGAGGAAAAACATACAGCTTGGCCCTTACTGTTTCAAGACTTTTAGTTCCCTGGTGGCAAAAAAGAACCTGAATATTTATGAACTACCCAATGCCATTATGGCAGCAGGTAGAATATAGTTTGCATATGGGAAGATGTTTGCATTCCGAGTTTGATCACCTGAAAATATGCATGTTTCACTGGGGATGGGAAGGAGTAGGGAGGGGACGGAGAGCGCATGTTTCTGGAGCATGTTGTGACCTCATTCTAATTTGGCCATTACTAAACTAGAACACATAGCTCAGTGCCATTTTGAAAATTCCCATTTCTGTTTCGTTCAGGATGTTGTCTCTAGTCCTAATTGCAGACCAGTTCCACTGATAGCGTATAAAGGGTTTATGAGCATCTTGCTATGTTGAACTTGCTGTTTACTAATGACCTGTGCTTTTCTGCCTTTTCCTCCCCCTTCCTACTTCTTCCTCCCTTTCTATTTTTCTCCTCCTAGAAGCCTAGCGTGTCTCTCCACACTGGGGCTGCTGCAACACCAGACCAGTGATCTTTCCTAAGCACCGTTACACTTCTAAAACCTTCAGCATTTTGCAGAGCTTTGCTTTTCCTTCCTGGACATGGTGTAGAAGAAGCGGAGGGTAGTTCTTCGGGGCCTATTTCTGCTGATGCCTGAGCAAACCACCTGCTTCCTCTTGTGCTCTGCAGGGCTTGATGGAACCTCCTTTCCCTTTGTGAGCACAAAGTACAAGATGAATTCTTTTTAATTTTAGTATTTTATAAAAGTCATCTAAGGTCTTTTATTTCTTGTTCTCTTTTAAAACTCATTTTATCATTTAATTCAGTCTCACGTTTTTTCTTTTCTTTAAACATTTTGAGTTGGCCTTTTCCATTTGGTTTTCATATCTTCAAAATGAATCAGGATCTCGTAACACCAAATGAGAACATGTGCTTTCATAAAGGGATTGAGTCCACCAGTACTGCAGTTGACCCTCCTTTCCCCTCCCCCTCCTCTCTCTGTGAGCTTGCTTTTAGGGAAGGGTAATCTTTCAGGCTACCTATGTTTCTCTCCACCTTACTAAAATCTGAATAATGATAGCTATTTTAATTTAAAGTTTTCTCATTTAGAGTAGCTCTGATTAAACTTTGAAAAGCATTTCCTCAAATTAAACCATATTTTGTTATTTGCAAGTTGGGCTGAAATGGTTTCTATGATGAAATTACGGTTTATTTGTCTAGAGGCTTAGATTCTCTTGAAAATCTGACAACATTTTATTGTTTATGAAATTTTATAACCAAAGTTACTTTCATAACATGATCATGAGCTATCAAAACAAGAATTGAGAAGTTAAAGAAAATGCAACCCTGTATTCTTAGACTACTAGGTTGTTGATACAGATAGAAAACAGCTTCTATAAAAACATGGGAACGAAAGTGCATTGCAGGACACTGAAGAACCACAACCAGCTTATCAGTTTTCTAATGAAATGGTTATCAGATTGGACTCACACTGTTCAGGTAGTTTCTAGTATCCCTTTGATCTCTGGAGCAGCATGCCAGTGGGATTGGTGGACCACATGTGAAGACCTTTACCATGAACGTTATTACAATTTATACTCCTTGTATTCTGAGGATTGTCCCAGTGGGACTTTCTTATTCTCATTCCTCATTTTCCCACACTAAGAGCTAAAAAACCTGGAAGAACAATTTGGAAAAAGTACTGCGGAACTTTTCAGATAATAAGCTTTGATTGGACTTTGAGAAATAGAATATAAAACCTGGGCCATGTTTTGAAATCTTAGAGGAGTTCTGGTTTAAGGTCCAGAATGTGAAATACTCTAATTTTCTATCCTCTTACTGATTATGGAGGTTATCATAATCACCAAGCTATTGATTGTTTCAAATTAAAATAAATAATTGGCAGTATGTTCTGAGGAAGATTTTGAGATGTACATTATTTTAGATCCTCTGACGTAAAAGTGCTTTTGAGATGGAAGTTTAAACCGAGTCTCTATGACTTCTGGAATTTAGGGAGCATTCATTCCCTCTTCTGATCACAGACAGGGGCCACATTGCCAAGAATTCCTCCTGTGAGTTCTTGGAGAGAAGACACTTAGAGGAGGCACATTTTAGAGGGAAATGCTGATGCTTCCCTTCTAAGCAGTTGATAATGAAAACTCTTAACCATGGGACAGCACCCATCAAATAGAACATAGCATTTTCCCTTCGGTGTGCAGTTGTTCAGTATGTTTTTCGGTTCTCTGTGTGTGTTTGGTTGGTTTGGCTTCGGTTTTTTGGCTAGGGAAATTTTCAAAACTGGCAGTGCTAACTTTTTAAGGATCATGGTTGACATTTTTCTATCACCTCTAACCAGTCTCTACAGCTTGTCTAAGTGTTTGGAGAAGCCTGGATGCACCTCGGCTCTGGCAGTGGTCAAAGGGACACACACTCCATTATTACATTGACTTATTCCACTTTTATTTCCATTTTGCTGTGTTTTTGTGTGACTTTTTTTTTTCCAAAAAAAAATTTTTTTTAAACAGAATTGAAATTTTCTACTAGCCAGCTAAAATGTGGTGTATATTGTTAGCTCTCTCTGTTTCACTTGGATGTTTCATTTTGTTTTGCATATAGCTTTGTATGAAGCAGCCAGTTCTATAAAGAAATGCTGTGTTGCCATCGTGGTCACACCCAAGTGTGAGGTTCCCAGACTGGTCAGGGTTGTTCTATTCAAATATGATGTTTCTTATATGTAATCTTTCTCTCTCTGTTTTGTTTTTTTTTTCCTTTCTTTCTCGGCCCAATGTTGAAGATGTAGAACTTTGTTTACAAATAATATTTTATATAACCCCATTCATGCACCTGAGTTTATATTTTTTGTGACTTTAGACTTCAACAGTTTGTATATTGGGACATTTTAATGTGATCATTGTGCTAAATAAATTACACTAATAAAAATCTTACATTGACACCTTACAGACTGGATTTTGGTTGGAGTCTTAATTATTGAAGTATAACGTGACTAAGACATGAGTTTGGCAAATAAAGACTCTTGAGGAATGAGTTCTTGGTCTAGCTAAATATCTGATCCCACCCATAATAATTTCATAATTGTATGGGTTTTTTACTTTGCCAGGCATTTTCATTCACTTACATTGTTGTTTTTGATTCTTTAGAGTAACTCCTTTTTATCCAGAAGCCCAAATGACTGATATTTTATAGCATCTGGTGAGAAAAACAGTTGGCAGAGTGGCAATATGCAGTTAACCCAAGAGTTTCATGGTATATCAATTATTGTTAGATGCCTTCTAATACTACATGTATGTTTAGTTAATATTCATGTTCATAATCTTTCTAAAATACGTTCTGAATTATCCACTGAAACTGTTACATTCAATGACATTTTAATTTTGTAACTTCATTATGTAATTAAGTTACTGCAACTGGGAAGAATTCAACAG